TCTAAGAATGTCGGCTCGACAGCAAAGTGGGAATGCCATTGGACAAGGGGATGTTGTGGCGTCTCAGTTTGCTTCTCACCATCCCCGTCAAAATTTAACCTTTCATCTCTGCTAAGCGTATTAAATGCTAGAATATATCTAATAATGGGAGTAAAGCAGCTTTGGACTCTTCTCTCCCCAGTTGGGCGGCCGGTTCTGTAAGTCCATCACTGGACCCGCTTCCTCAATTGCCACTCAGTTTACCGTCCTAATTAGCTTAGAGACTATGGAAGGAAAGGCACTTGCAATTGATTCTAGCATATGGATCTATCAATTCCAGGCCACAATGCGGGACAAGGAGGGAAGAGGGCTCAATAATGCCCATTTACTCGGCTTCCTGCGGCGTATATGCAAGCTACTCTTTTACGGTATCAAGCCTGTCTTTGTATTTGACGGAGGTGCACCTGCCCTTAAACGATCAACAATTGTCAGACCCTTTGTTCTCGTTTTGTCACCGATCACATTCTCATGTCCTACAGGTTGAGCGGAAGCGCAGAAAAGCCGGCGCGTCGCTTAGTCACGCAAAAGTTGCAGAACGACTATTGGCGGCCCAATTAAGAAGGGAGGCTGTAAATCATGTCAAAAAGCGTCAAGGAGCGTAAGTCTCTCTTCCTTTATCTTTCATTGTTCACCGGGCGTCAGTCGAACTGTGGCTTTTCTATTAACCGTTCAATCTGGAATAATACTTGCCGCCTTTAGACATAAAGCAGCCACCGCCGATAGCGTGCCTGCAGGTCCATCCAAGGGACTTTTGGACGAAAATACAGTATATTTGGAAGATGTGATGCCATCGCTCGCTTCCTCCTCTCCTCAGAAGCCAAAGTCACCAGAGAAGACGGCACCACCTCCGCCGGAATCTCCTCAAAAATATCAATGGAGAGACCATGATCCATACAAACTGCCGGACGTTGACATGAGTGCCAAGGTAGCTGCAGCCACCCGAGATACCGACGAGGACGGCTTTATGCGCAATGTAGATCCAAGGCTAGCGACAGAAGAGGATAGGCAGGGACAGGTGGGATCGCAGTGCTCATGGTAGAATTGACAACTGCTTGTGCGACTTGGCTATGATTGGCCCCAAGTGAACGACTTCGTGTCCTCGGGTTAAGCGATTTGGTGACAATGATACTCAGCGGTCGACGCGACGACAATAACGGGACAGATGTGATTGAGTGATCTATTCCTGAGCTACCCGAACTTTCTGGATCGCCATGAACTGATACAGAGGGCGAAGGTGAGCTACAGTTGACGTCCGCTACGTAGTTGTATTCCTGAGAGGGAGCGAACGGGAATAAGATATCCTCTTCAATGACTTCTGCAATACCGCCAGACCTAAGGACCCGTGAAACTTCCTAGGATAAGATACAAGTTAACAATCTTCGATCTTATGAGCATTTGTGCCATGCTCACCTCAAGTACATGGTTCCATTTATTTTCTGGTATACCGAGAGCAATTCTGCATATGCGGACGAAATCGAAGGAAGCATCGGCAAAGGGTAGATCCCCCAGCCTAAAGTGTCATATCAGCACAGTGGCCCATGTTCAACAGACTGCTTTACATATTCCCTTGAACCCAAGTCACGCGATCATGAAAGTGCGAGAACGGCCCGTCGTGGGAGATGATAGGCTGGATTTCGACAAGGTCAAATCCGACCAATTTTTTAGTGTCCTATTACAAGTTCGAATCAGGTGACACGTATTAATACTTAAATTTACCTTCCAAGTAGACGCCGCTTCCAAAATCCAATTACCTGAGCCCGTCCCTATATCGAGGACTGACGAAGGAGGGCTATCTCCAAAATCATGCAATGTTAGGCCGTTTGAACATAGTTTTCTGAGAGTTATTTGGTCACAGATATCACTACACGTTCGCAATGCTGTCAATGATACTGTGATAAACTTGTGAGCAGAGACACCGCCTACCTGTCTAAAACCGACTGAGAATAGGACAGCGGATAAGGTGCCTCCTTTTTCTGATACGTATGAAGTTTACTTCCATTGATAGTGATCAGGCGAGCTCTAGTAGGTAGGGTGGATAAATTCGTCTTGGACTTGGCACTGTCGAGTAGTTTCGAGGGCCAAAGCAGGCTGCTCTGCTTGGTTTCGCCGACATTCATGGCATTAGACAGTGCGATATGTTGTGTAAGGAGAGAGTTGAGTTCAACTTGCTCGGGAGAAAGAGCAGAAGTCATGAAAGGTGTGATAAATCTTGTAGGGAGTGACGAGGTTCCAACGTGATAGTGGTGTCCGGGCAAAGGATGCTCAGGTAAAAGGTCCTGCAATGGTCGGTTCTAAGAATGTCGGCTCGACAGCAAAGTGGGAATGCCATTGGACAAGGGGATGTTGTGGCGTCTCAGTTTGCTTCTC